GAAGTGCCTTGGTGAATATATCAGCAGTGTTGGCCCGAGTGGCCACGTAAGCAAGACGAAGCTGACCACGCTGCTGCAACTCTTGAGCAAGGAAGTACCGCAGAGCGATGTGCTTCGTTTTGTGCTCCAGTCTGTGCTCCTGACACAAGGCAATCATGGCCTTGTTGTCTACGTACAGCACCTGGAGAAGAACAAGGCCGCTCTCCCTAGTCGGTCAGCAGGTAGGTGAGCCAGCGTAACTCTTGTGCAGCCATGGCCCTTGCTTAGATCTCAGCCTCACAACTGGAAATGAGAACAGAAGACGAGCGGGTATACCGCCAAGAAACAGAGCCGGAGCCAAGGCTGAAAGTGTAACCCTGTGACGACCGCTCTGTAGCCAAGTCGTCAACCCAAGAAGCGTCTGCGTGACCAGTGAGGACAACTGGACCCCGTCCTCCAAGCACGAGCCCCATGCCCGACGTACTGCACAAGTAGCAACACCCTCTTAGCGGCCTCCCAGTGCTCTGGTCGGTGTCTCCCGGGCCTCCCAGTGCGCGGGGTCAGGATGTCTTGTGCATCAGGGTCTCCCTCAGGGGCAAGCAACATGGCCACGAGATGAGGTACAGCAGCTGCAAGGCACTCAAAGTCCTCCTGCGTGTCCTCAAGGACTTCCGTGCCAAGGGCACACTCACCCTTGACGGACGGAGGACAGTCAGACTCAGACTCAGCAACAAGACTAGTGGCGTAGTAGAGACAACAGGCAGCAGCAAAGTCAACAAGCTCAGCAACTAGGGCAGACGCAGTAGTGGACTCAAAAGAAGGGCCAGTGACAACAGTGGCGAGAAGACGAGTGACAGTAGGAGTGGCAGCACGAGCTAGGTCAGACTCAGGGTCAGGAACGGCAGGAAGAGAGGACTCAGGAGGAGGCGGTAGAGGAACGCGCAGTGGAACAGAGGAAGGACGAAGTGCCATAAAGTGAGTGCTGGGGACAGGAGGAGAACGCGGACGAGGAACACGACGACCAGTGCGAACGGCGCGAACAGGCGAGGCAGGACGAGACTCAGGCTCACGACGCTATGTAAAAGAGTCTGTCTGCTCAGCGTAAGGAGAAGGAGTAGGCAGTGGGGAGTCTGGCTGTAACTGTGGCTGCGAATGGCGAGGCGGTGGACTCAGTAAGCTACGAGGAAGGCCAGTAGAAGACGGGAGACTAAGTACCTGACGAAGGACCGAGTCAGGTGGCGGCAGAGACGACGGTGGCGGCGGAACGAAAAACCGGCACCGCTGCACAGTGCCTCCAGCACCAGTACCGCCAGACGCAGCACCCCCAGCGCCAGCACCTCCAGCTCCAGGATCAACGGCTCCAGCACCTCCAGCGCCAGGGTCTCCAGCTCCACCTCCTCCAGCTCCAGCGCCGCCAGCGCCTCCAGCTTCAGTGCCTCCAGCTCCAAAGCCTCCAGCTCCAGCGCCCCCAACACCACCAGCCCCTGCAGCTCCAGGACCCCGAGCTCCAAGGTCAACAGCCCCAATGCCACTAGCTCTAGCGCCACCAGCGCTAGGGTCTCCATCTCTAGCTCCTTCAGCTCCACCAGCCCCGGCAACTTCAGTACCCCTAGTACGAGCACCTCCAGGACGTCCAGCTCCAGCACCTCCGAGACCTCCAGCTCCAGCAAGAACTCCAGCACCTCCAGGACTAGTAGCTCCAGCACCTCCAGCTCCAGTGCCTCCAGTGGCAAAGTCTCCACCTCCGGTAGCTCCACTCCGAAGGCGTGTGCGCCGAGCAAACCACTCGCGCAGCTGCTGCGGGGAGAGAGGCTCCGGCCGGGGAGACAGTCGTGGTGAGGCACCTGCAGGACCTCAAGAAGAAGCAGTACCCCTAGGCTCAGCACCCCAAGACTCCGCACCCTCAGACTCCGCACCCCCAGGCTCCGCACCCTCAGGCTCCGCACCCGCAGGCTCAGTACCCCCTGGCTCCGCACCCCCAGGCTCAGCACCCCCAGACCCCGCACCCTCACACTTAGCACCCCCAGGCTCCACACGCGCAGGCTCAGCACCCCCAGACGCAGCACCCCTAGCAGCACCTGAGTCTACAGCTACCTCAACAGGCACAGTACCAGGGAGTGGGTCTACCTGAGACACACCTGAGGGAGCAGGACCCTGAGGGGGAAGGGGGTCTACCGGAGGGGTACCTGGAGCAAGGAAGAGCGGCGGTGGTGGGAGAGGGGCAGAGCGGTAGGGGAAGAGACGGTAAAAGGGAACCGGCTTGTCAAACGTGTCGTCCTGAGAGGGGAGGACACGGCGCGAGGTGGGGTGATAAAACTGCCAGCCAGGGGCATCAGGGGGAAAGCCAAGGAAGATGCAAGAATTAACGCTGGCGGAGAGCTTGTCCGCGGACGTATCGCGAACAAAGGCACGAGAACCCCAGACCCAGAACACCGACGCATCGCCAACCTTCCCCGTCCAACGCAGTGTAGGCGAGGTCTCCGGCAAGGAGACACGGGGCCAGAGGTTGAGCTGATGCGCAGCGTACCGGACCGCAAACGGCCACAGAAAATGGGGGGCAGCCGCATGGATCATGGAGGTACGAACGACCTCCATGACTAAGCCAATGCGACACTCAGCAATCCCATTTCGCTGCGGTGAGGCCGGAAGCGTGAACGACTGGAGGATGCCCTCCCCACGAGAAAAGTCCCGCAAGAGGTCGGAGGAGAACTCACCACCTCTATTTGAGTGCAGACGCAGGACAGGAAGGTCCTCGCGGAACCGCTCGCGTAGCTGAAAACGGAAAGAAACAGCGGGAAGCACCTGAGTCAAGCGTAAAGGTGTGCAAGGCCTCAGCAGGCGCAGTACCAGGGAGAGCAGACTCACTAGCACCTAGAGCAGCAGCCTCTATACCTGGGTCGGGCGGCACACACAGGTAACAGTCACCCTCAGCACTTACAGACAAGGCATGCATAGCAGCAAGGATAGCATCATAGTCAAGAGCAAAGATATCAACTCCAGACCTAAGCAGTTCTGCCTAGCGGGGGTGCTCAGCCTCGTCACCAAACTCTGCGCGCCAAGCGTCGTCTAGGCGGGAGAAGCAGCGGTGCTCAGTGTGAGGCTTCCTGCATGTCTGACCAGCACGGTCACCCATGCGAATGACATACGGGCAGCTAACACTACCCCCAGACGCCCAACGCTGAGCAAACCACTCACGAAGCTGCTGGAGTGAAGGGGTCTTGCTCCGACGCTGTTGCTGCTTCCTCTGGCCACCGCCAGAATCTCCCCTCGGAACAGCTCCACTCCGACTGCCACCACTCCCACTGCTGCCACTACCGCCACCCCCACCGTTGCCACCACCGCCGCCACCAAAGCCCCCACTCCCGCCACCACTCCCACCACTGCCACCACCTCCGCTACCTCCACCACCTCCACTACGGCCCCCACCACCACCCCCGCTGCCACCGCCACCACTCCTGCCACACTTGCCCTTGCTGCTGCGGCCCTTCCCACTAAGAGCATAAATAGCCCCGACATCCGCAGCACCAAGGATGTCAACAGCGGCAGCAGAGGCGTAGGAGGGGGGAGGGGGAACACCCCTCAAAGAAGGGTGTGCGAGGAGTGCCACGAGCAGCACCTACAGCGACTACGCTAGTCTCAGCTGCAAGGAGGTGCTGCTCGAGTAGGTCGACAGTGAGGGCTGTGGGGTCAAGTGCGAGAAAGTGGTCCCTGACTGCGCGAAGAGAGTCAGGGAGGCGAGTGACTATGAAGTAGAGAGTGATGTACATCGGGGGCGGGTTCCTGTCTAGGAACTCTGCTGGGAGGGCAGCGCGATAGCGAGCGTTGCTAGTGCGAAGGTGGGTAACGAGGTCCTCTATTGTGGCAAAGGCGAACAGCTCAGGAAACAGGTGGGGCAGTAGAAGACGGCCTAGAGCAGCAGTGGCAGGGGAGGAGAAATGAGCGACTACAACATCGTACTGTGCTTTAGCAGTCTTGTGATGTCCGAAGTGAGCGCGTTCAGCTAACGGAAGGTGGTTGCGAACGGCTAAGCGAGCAGCGGCGTCACGGGTAAGCCACTGTGAGCGAGTCGCACTTTCAGCTGTGGCGGGAGGGGTGAGAGAGGCTCCAGACGTGTGGTCAAACAACGACACGCTGTCTCTAGAATCGCCCAGTAGGTACAGCCATACTTCGTCGAGCCACATATCGAACTGGATCGGATGGCCCTCATGATCGAAAGTGAGTACACTGAGAGACGACATAGCAGGCACAGCAGGGTGGCTCGATCAGTAGGGACGCGAGCAGTGCAGGGCAGGGCGGCGCACAGCAGGATGGGCTGGAGCCAGGCGGCGCAAGCAGCAAGGAGGGCACGCTGGCTGCAATAGGGGTGGCAAGCGGGCTGCAGAGGGCGGCGCGTGGGCTGCAAAAGGGGGGGGGGGGGGGCGAGCGGGCCGCAGGCGTGCGGCGAGCGGGCGGCAAGGGCGGCGAGCGGGCCGCGAGCAAGCAGCGAGCGGGCGGCAGGGGCGGCGAGCGAGCTGCAGGCAGGCTGCGAGCGGGCTACAGGGGCGGCGAGCGGGCCGCAAGCGGGTGGCAAGCGGGCTGCAGGGGCGGCGAGCGGGCGGCGAGCGGGCCGCGAGCAAGCGGCGAGCAGGCGGCAGGGGCGGCGAGCGAGCCGCAAGCGGGCGGGGAGCGGGCCTTAGGGGCAGCGAGCGGGCCGCAAGGGCGGCGAGCGGGCCTAGGGGCGGCGGGTGGGCCGCAAGTGGGCGGTGCGTGGGCTGCTGGGGCGGCGCGCGGGCTGCAGGGGCGGCGCGCAGGCCGCAAGTAGGTGGCGAGCGGGCTGCAGGGGCAGAGCGCTGGCTGCAGGGGCGGCTCGTGGGCTGCTAAGGGCGCCGCGACAAGCTGCTAGGGGCGGTGCAGCGGCCCGAAGGGCGGCGCGTAAGTAGGGTAGGGCGGCAGGGCAGCTCTGTGGTGGGCCCTAAAAAAAAATCGGTCCTAGGGAAGGACCTGCTATGAAACCATGTCAAACTAACGAACGAGAATGAACTATGAAAGAGTTAGGTACAAGTACTAACCCTAATTGGGTTGTACCCCTTATGGACTACCCCACTATAGCCTACACAAAGTAAGCAATATTTTTTTTTGACACTTCCATCACTCCCTCACCCTTTCTCCCCTCTTTCTATCTCCGTCGATCCCTCACCCCCCTCTATCCCTCATGTCCCCCCCTCCTTCCCCTCATTTCTCCATTTTCTCCCCCCTAGGTCCCCCCTATTTGCTCTCCATTTCCCGCCTTGCGTACCCTTATTTCCACCTCCTGCTTCCCCTCTTTTTCCCCCTTGCTTCCACTCGTTCCCTCCCCCCCCCCTTATTCCCCTCCTTTTCCCCCCTGCTTGCCCTCTGTTTTTCCTTTGCCTCCCCACCTGTTCCCCCGTGCTTGCCCGCTCACTGTCCTTCTCGCCCATCCCCCCTTGTCCTCCGCTCTCCCCCTCTGTCCTCTCCAACCTGTCCTTCTCTCTCCCCACTGCCATCCCTTCTCCCCCCTGACCTCCGCTCTCTTCCCCGGTCCTCCTCTTTACCCCCCATCCTTTCCTCCTCTTTATTCCCCGTCCGGTCCTCCTCTCTCCAACCTGCTATCATCCCTTCCTCCATGCCTCGTTTCCTCCCATCCTCCATTGCTAGTCTCCCCCCGTTCACTCCTTCGCGGCTCCTTTCCTTTCTCTCTTCCTTCCTTCGTGTTGTTCTGTTCCTCATTTCCTCCCTCATCACTTCTTCCCCTCTCTCATTCCTTCCTCTCCTCTCTCATCCCGTCCTCCCCTCTCTCATCCCATCCTCCCCTCTCTCATCCTGTCGTCCCCTCTCTCATCCCGTCCTCCCCTCACTCATCCTGTCCTCCCCTCTCTCATCCCGTCTCCCCTCTAATCATCCCTTCCTCCCCTCCCTCATCCCGTCCTCCCCTTGTCAGAATCCCAACCACTAGACCATTGGGATAAAAGGGCTTGTTAAGTAGCGGGTCAGTGCGCCCATGAACCTCCAGGACAACAAGCCTGTAACCCTTCCCTAGGATCAATCGGGGATCACCAATGGACCTCTAACACCCCTCTCTCATCTCGTCCTGCCCTCTCTCATCCCATCCTCCCCTCTCTCATCCTGGCAGGACGAGAGTCGACAGCTACCTCGACAGGCTCAACCGGGTCTACCTGGGACACACCTGAGGGAGCGGCACCCTGAGGGGGGAGGGGGTCTACCACAGCAGCACCTGGCGCGAGGAAGAGAGGCGGGGGGGGGAGCGGGGCAGTGCGGTAGGGGAAGAGGCGGTAGTAGGGCACGGACTCGTCAAAAGTGACGTCCTGAGAGGGCAGGACACGGCGCGAGGTGGCGTGGTAAAACTGCCAACCAGACGCGTCCGGGACAAAGCCAAGGAAGACACAGGGAACAGCGCGGGAGGAGAGCTTGTCCGCGAACGTATCGCGAACAAAAGCTCGGGATCCCCAGACCCGAAAACGCGACGCATCGCCAACCTCTCCCGTCCAACGCAGTGTCGGCGAAGTCTCCGGAACGGAGACACGGGGCCAGAGGTTGAGCTGATGCGCAGCGTATCGGACCGCAAACGGCCACAGAAAGTGGGGGGCAGCCGCATGGATCAAGGAGGTACGAGCGACCTCCATGACCAAACCAATGCGGCGCTCAGCAACCCCATTCTGCTGTGGAGAGGCCGGAAGCGTGAACGACTGGCGGATGCCGTGCTCCGCACAGTAGGCTGCCAAGAGGTCAGAGGAGAACTCACCACCTCTGTCAGAGTGCAGACGCAGGACAGGAAAGTCCGAGTGGAACCGCTCACTGAGCTGGAGACGAGAAGCGCGGATCCAAGGGATCAAAACATCAGGGACCTCACCCTTGGTGCGCAAGGGGAAGACCGTGGTGTAGCGCGAGTAGTCGTCAACAACGATCAGGAAGTACCTCTCCTGACCCTGTCCACGGACGCGGGCTGGGCCCCACACGTCCATGTGGAGTGTCTGCAAGGGAGCAGTCGTCGGGGGAAACGAGGAGGAGTGAGGAGCGGCGCGCTGCCGCCCCTCGACACAGGGAAGGCAGGGAGGAGCAGGCGAGGGTGGGAGTGGAGGGAGAACCCTGGGAAGACCAGAGACAAGGTACCGGTTGTGCATGGCACGAAGGCGCTGCACTGACGGGTGACCAAGACGGTGGTGCCAGAGGACAGTCTCGTGTGCCAGAGAGCGACACGAGCAGGGGGCAGACAGCTGACCTGACGCAGACGCAGACGCAGCTACCTGTGGGGACTCAGTGGTCAGTGTGTACAGGTCCGACCCCGGCTGCCGAGTGAAGGTAGCCAGGTGGCGGCCCGTCCGAGCGCACGTGCAGTGTGTCACACGCTCGTAGGCAGGGGTAAACTGGTGGACATCCCCGTCCTGGAGCGCACTACCCGCCACCAAGTTCGTAGAGAACGAGGGGAGGTAGAGACCTGACAGAGTGCCCGACGGGACCGCAGGACAAGGGAGAACAGTAGAGGAGGTCGCAATGACCGGACCCCCAGAGGGGTCAGCGAGGGAGACTGCAACCGGCCGAGCAAGCTGCTCAAGGGCAGTGCGGTCACGAAAGAAACAGCGGGAAGCGCCTGAGTCCAGTGTGAAGGTGTGCAGTGCCTCAGTAGACGCAGTACCAGAGGGCGCAGACTCACGAGTACCTAGAGCAGCAGCCTCACCAGCACCTGGGGCAACAGACACACGAGCACCTAGTGCAGCAGCCTCACCAGTACCTAGAGCAGCAGACTGGATACCGGGGTCAGGCGGCACACACAGGTGACAGGCACTCTCAGCACTAGTAGGAAATGCATACATGGCAGTGAGGATAGCATCATAGTCAAGAGCATAGATATCTACCCTCTGCCTAAGCAGCTCCACCCAGTCGGGGAGCTCAGCCGCGTCGCCAAACTCTGTACGCCAGGCGTCGCTCAGACGGGCGAAGCAGCGGGACTCTGTGTGACCAAACGTCCCGCAAGGCTGACCAGTCCGAGCACCAGTGCGAATGACGTACGGGCAGCGAGCAGTACCCCGTGACCCTCCACGCTGAGCGTACCACTCACGAAGCTGCTGGGGCGTGAGGGACTCACTCGGACGTCGCGGGAGCTGCATCTGGCCACCGCCAGGAGCAGCAGTAGCAGTAGTAGCAGCAGTAGTAGTAGCAGCAGCGCGGCCACCCCTACAACCCCAACCAGCATACCACTCACGAAGCTGTTGGGGCGTGAGGGACTCACGCGGACGGCGCTGGAGCTGCATCTGGCCACGCCAGGAGCAGCAGTAGAAGTAGAAAGAGCAGTAGCAGCAGGAGCAGCAGTAACAGCAATACGGGCAGGGCAGTGCTCACCAGTGGCGAGAAGTGCAGGCGTACGACGGTGGTAACGGCGAGGCCGCTACCACTGCAGGGCGAGGGCTCCGCGGCAGCTGCAGGGGCGGCTGCTCCAGGGGCCAGGGGCGGCTGCAGAGGTCCAGGGGCGGCTGCTGCAGGGGCGGCTGCTCCAGGGGCGGCTGCTCCAGGGGCCAGGGGCAGCTGCTCCTTTTTTTTTTTTTTTTTTTTTTTTTTTTTTTTTTTAAATAATTAATTATTTATTTTAGGGTTTGGCAGAGCGCACTCGGCGCTGCAGAGGCGGCTCGCGGGCTGCAGGGTGGCTCGGGCAGCAGCGAGGGGGGGGGGCGGCGCGCGGCTCCCCAGGGCGCCGCGACGGGGCAGCGGGGGGGGGGGGGGGGGGGGGGGGCCGCGCGCGGCTCCCCAGGGCGTCGCGACGGGGCAGCGGGGGGGTCGCGCGTGGCTCCCTAGGGCGTCGCGACGGGTCAGCGGGGGCCAAGCGCGAGGGCTGCAGGACGGCACGCGGGCAGACCGAAGGGCGGGTCGCACGGGGGGCGCACGAGGGCGCACGTAAGGTAGGGCGCACGAGGGCGCACGAGGGCGCACGAGGGCGCACGAGTATAGAAAGGCGCACGAGGGCGCGTCTAGCGGAATAGTGGGCCCGTAGGAGAAAGCGGTCCTAGGTAGCAACCTAGGCTCGTGATACCATGTTAGAATGTAGAACTGAACGAGAATGTGTGAAACTAGGCAGCAGGGTGATACAAGTAGGAAACCCTAGCAATGTTGTACCCCCTAAGGCTAAACCCACTATAGCCTACACAATATGAACATGTATAATGTTTGACAGTCCTCCCCTCTCTCATCCCGACCTCCCCTCTCTCATCCCTTCCTCCCCTCTCTCATCCCGCCCTCCCCTCCCTCATGCAGTCCTCCCCTCTCTCATCCCGTCCTCCCCTCTTATCCTTTCCTCCCCTCTCTCGTCCCTTTCCCCTGACTCAGCCCTCTCTTGTCGCTATCCTCCCTGTCTTGTCCCTCTTCTTCTCTAAACAGACGCCTCTAGGGAGTATTGTTGCTTCCTCATGTCCTTGTGGCATGGCAGATGACAAGTAGCTTAGTGTCCACAAGGAGCACCCACAAGACAAACCCGTTATTGCTGCTTGACGCCATGCGACACGGAATAGAACATGTGATTTGTCATGGAATAGAACGGAAGCAATATAATAGAATGCATCGTAACTCCTCCTCCTGGCATGATTGACCCCATCGCATGCTTCATGCTCTACATTGTGACACACATGTTTTGTAATAACTCTGAAGACGCCTAGAACCACTGTAACATCTCAAACCGCCATTGCTTGCCACATGGCACTTTACAAAGCGTCACCATTCCCTCCGCCTCGACCACAAAGCACTCTACAGCGCGGCCTGCCCACATCCTCAAAGAAACCCACAAGTCAAACACGTAACACGCAGTGTGAAAATGTTCTCAAAAGGAGTAGACGTCAAAGGTGAAAATAACACGGACTCAATACCGTAATTTACCTGAGTACTGCGACGAGAACGAAAAAAAATCAAAACACCTTGTGAGAATTAACATCCTGAAGCAGGACACCCACCTTGCCGTGATGATGTTGTGTTTGGTCGGCTTTCTTCCCGTCTCCCCTCTACTCATCCCTTCCTCCCCTCCTTCATCCCGTCCTCCCCTTGTCAGAATCCCAACCACTAGACCATTGGGATAAAAGGGCTTGTTAAGTAGCGGGTCAGTGCGCCCATAACCCCCCCAGGACAACGAGCCTGTAACCCTTCCCTAGGATCAATCGGGGATCACCAGTGGACCTCTGACACCCCTCTCTCATCCCGTCCTCCCCTCTCTCATCCCATCCTCCCCTCTCTCATCCGGTCCTCCCCTCTCTCATCCCGACCTCCCCTCTCTCATCCCTTCCTCCCCTCTCTCATCCCGCCCTCCCCTCCCTCATCCAGTCCTCCCCTCTCTCATCCTGTCCTCCCCTCTCATCCTTTCCTCCCCTCTCTCGTCCCTTTCCCCAGACTCAACCCTCTCTTATCGCTATCTATCAAAAGAATGAACGAGAATGAATGAACTATGAAAGAGTTGGGTACAAGTACTAACCCTAATTGGGTTGTACCCCTTATGGGCTACCCCACTATAGCCTACACAAAGTAAATAATATAACAATCTGACACACCCCCATAGACAAAGTGGGGGAGAACAAGTGGTCACAAGACCAGTCAAGAAAAGCAAAGCAAGCTCAGGGTGGATCACAAAGTCACCACACAGTCCGAGCACAAGCTAAGGGCCACAAGGCCAGTTTGTCAGAACATTATAGCTTATACATTTGTGTAGGCTGTAGTGGGGTAGCCCATAAGGGGTACAACCCAATTAGGGTTAGTACTTTTACCCATCTGTTTGCTAGTTCATTCATTCTCGTTCACAACATTCTAACATGGTTTCAGAGCAGGTCCCCTAGGACCGGTCTGTTTTTGGGCCCACCACCTACTGCCCTGCTAGCCTAGGCCCACGCCCGTTGCCCATAGGCCCCGGCCCGTCGCCACCCCTAGCTCGCCCCCCCCCCCGTCGACCCCGTCGCCCCTAGCTCGGCC